ACAAATGGAAGGTCAGACAGCAGATCCAAGGGCTGTTTGAAAATGTAATAAGACAAAAGAAAGAACAAACTCTCTTGTAAAAATTCAGCCCTTACTTGGCAGACTGACCCATTAGAAGACGTCTCAGCTGCATACAGTTCTGAAGGCAAATATTAGAATAATAAATGGAAATCATTTGGGTTTAAACAAGTTTGTCAAGGATTAGCACAGGCTTTAAACATTACCTAGATTTCTATTTAAAAACAAAAATTAAGAATTGCTCATTTACAAAGTTAGAACGTGGATCACGGCCTCCTAGCCTGAGCTCCAAAGTGGTTGCCACCAGCACATTCACAAAAAATTCCTTCTCTTTTGGAACTGGGTAACACCTCACTCCTCTGCCCATATGTGGTCGGGAAATCTGCTTGATGGTCCACTGCTCTGCCTGTGAATCTCCACGAACGCAGAAACCCTGAGGTAACCACAACATTGCCTTTGTTCCCTTGTTGTGAGGTTGGGCAGAGAGAAGATGAGAAGAGCACAAGAGGTAATTTGGACAGAGGGCTCAGAGAAGCAGTATTAAAAGAGCAAAGGGTTGCAGAAGTTCCAACTGCTAGCAACTGGAAAACGGTGGACAGCTGGGGAAGGTTCTATTTTGTGCTATCCTCGATCTCCTGAAGGGCCAGAGGTTTTGATGTGGGTCTCAAACTCCACGTTCTGCCCCTCCCCACCGCCCTGTCACAGCGGGGCGAGCGATGGGCACACAGGACACACGAGGAACAAGGCAGCACGCACAGCCATGCCAGACCAGAAAGCCAGTGCCTCTCCCCGTTATCATGCTTGTGATGAAGCCCTTGAGGGTTTGGGAAAATCCAAGGAGAAGATTTTTGTTCTTTCCAAAATAGGCACGTTTCTTACATGGGATCTGGGCACCTGGACAGCACAGCACTTGGGAGCCCATTTGGGATTTAGGAAGTCTCTGTCAGGAAATACAGAAATAGAGGCAGCATATCAAAGCTGCTTTCTGCCGTGCCTCCTGCTCTGGGTATTTCACCTTTCTGTGAGCCACAGACAGTCCCTGAAACTCATGGCAGGGTGGAAAAGCCTTGTGAGATTTGCCAATACCAGAGTTAAAAAAAAATTATTCCCTCATCAGCAGGCTTTCATCTGACGTGCTAATTCTAAAAATCTGCTTTCCAACAGTTCAACTTTGCTTTAGTGAATGTCTCACCAAGCCCCTTCTAATAAATATCATTTATGATTTCTATGACACACTTGTTTTGCAGTGAAATTGTGGAGGTAAAGATCACTGGGCTGATTGACACCTAGTTATTCAATCAAACATACTCTTATTCTGCTAGTCACAGACCACACATGCCAAATTTGATGCTGAAACAACTTTTATTAGGCATTTTGGAGGGAGCTTGGGAAGAAAATCACTCTTGTAATGAAAATCTTAACTATGTTGCAGCTACTGCAGCACCATAATACTATTTTCTCTCCTGCTGGCAATTTAGCAGCAGCAGTACTGAACACCAGAGGACTTTGCTGTGGAGGGAGAGTTAACAGCACGCATTTACTGAGAGGGTGGGGGTTCGGTTTCTTAACAATGGAAGTATACACAGATGGATTTGGTAGTTCTCAGCTGGTGAGCAAATTTTCAGCTATAACTCATTGTGCCTCTTTGGGTGGGAAAAATGGATTTCTAGTAAGTATTGCTTTCTGGGTCCATGAAAGATATAATGCGGGCAAGCTGAGTGGCAAATTTAGAAAGGCAAAAATAGTCACTCCACATGATACAATCCTGAAGCTCAGTAGTGCTGGGAGCTGAGACACCAGGCCACAATGCATTCATGTAAGGCAGTAATTTACTTTCTCAGGAAAAACATTTGTTCTAAATCTGACATGACATTTTATAAGATGTTTCTCCTAAAGAATGGAGACTTGAAAATATCTTCATCACAGCTTAGAAATGGATGAAGACTTAACAGAGTTTCCGGAGAACTATTTCTTTACCCCATCCCCTCTCTCCTAAGGCACTAGCAGTTTTCAATGAGAGGGTTTAGTCCCAATCTCTCAGACTAGCAAGATCTCAGGGAGATTCTGCAAACTTTGTAAAATAGCCATAGGCAAGCCATACCAAGCAAGTCCCTTAATTGGCTCAGTTATGCCAACTAGTGATCAAATCAAAGAGTTTTCTGACAGCTACCATTTCAGATTATTTAGGGAATGTCCTGGTTTCGGCTGGGATAGAGTTAAATTTCTTCCTAGTGCTGTGTTTTGGATTTAGTATGAGAAGAATGTTGATAACACACTGATGTTTTCAGCTGTTGCTAAGTCAAGGACAGCTTCCATGCTACCAAGCAGAGGCTGGGAGGGAGCATAGCTGGGACAGCTGGCCCAGCTGGCCAACTAGGTATTCCATACCATGTGATGTCATGCTCAGTATATGAATGGTAGGCGTGGTCCAGGAAGTAGCGATCGCTACTTGGTTATTGATCAGCATGGGTGGTGAGCAATTGCATTGTGCATCACTCATTTTGTATATTCTATCATTATCATTATTATTATTTTCCCGTTTTCTGTTCTATTAAACTGTCTTTATCTCAACCCACGAACTTTTCTCACTCTTACCCTTCTGATTCTCTCCCTGTCCCACGGGGCAGGGGGGAGAGGGGAGGCTGAGCAAGTGGCTGCATGGGGTTTGGCTGCCTGCCAGGTTAAACCAGGACAGGAATGATTCGAGTGCCTAAGCCGAAGCATCTGGGACCACTTTAGACACCCCAGGCAATACGAATAATCCACGTTGTGGCTGACACACTCAATAGAGACCTTTGCCCTTATAGCCAAGTAGCTGGAGCACAGGCACTGAACCGTATGGCAACTTAAATTACTTTAGACATTTCTGGTTTGGCACCTGAATGACTCTGCTGGTGTTTGTAGATGACAGTAGAGTGCTTTCTTCCTTCCGTATCCTCACCTTGTACAAGGGGATGGGGTATCGGGAACCTAAAAAGTGGCAGCTACCATTAGGTATAGAAAGGCATTTAATTATAATTCTTCATCTGCCCTCTCTAACAGTAGAAGGGCGTTTGGGCTCTAAAGTCCCAAAACAACGCCAAGCAGCTCCTTTACCCAAAAATCTTCTCCCCCTCCTTCAAGATTCTTAGCAATGTCCTTTCATTTTAATAAGAAGGGGAATCAAAACCCCTTGTAAATGTTGTAATAGCTCAGCCTCAAAGGCCTCCTCTAATAATTCATAGTTCTGCTCGTAAACCTGTGTCTCTCTTTGAAATTCCTCACTGCATTTCACCCCAACTTTTGTCCTTCTCTGAACTTTGCTCAGTTTTGGGAGGTGCTCAGTAGACCAAACAGACAGTTTCTTCTGCCATGAAGGAACTAGAACTTTCAGAAATTTTTGAGAAGATATTATTCAAGCTTTCCAGACAACTCTTTCTGTCTTGGGTTTCAAGAGCAATTTATTCATTGAGCTTAACCTTATTCCCATTACAGCCAGGCCTTGCAGATACTCTGCGGCAGTTTTATTCTGTTTAGTTTCTCATGTTATTTCCAGAAATTACTTGCAGTTCTTATTTCCATTACTGTTAAAACCCACTTATTTTGGCCAAGCTAACAGAAAATTAATTTAAAACCAAAACATTTTATGGTTTTGGGCTGGTTATTATTGTAACACTATATCCGTACAAAGCATTGCATTACCTGCAAGTACAAAATGGCAAGTTAAAAATTGAAAATACTGTTAAACTCATGTTTATGAGAAACACACTTTTTTATGACCCTCTGTGCAGATACCACAGAGAAGGCAAAAGCAGCTTTTTTAAGTGCCAGCCTCACCTAAGTGCCAATGCCTCTGTTTCAGGAGCTGAGCACAAAGATTACAGTTTCCCCAGTTTCCCCAGTGCAACCCCAAGTGAGAGCAACAGAGTAACTGTGTCGCTCTCTAGCACCTAAAATCCTTGGCTCAGCATTGTCTAGGAGGAGAGCCTGTGTCGCACTGCCCGTCCTCTGGCCACCTCTCCACTCCATCACCATCAGACCAAACATGAGATACTGGGCTCTAATCCTGTCAGCACTGACCACAGAAGATCAACGGCCCTCCCAGTACTCCATGACAATGTGAAGTTGGAAATTTTGTCTGTGTTTTGAAAGAAAAAAATGAAAACATTCTTTAGCCTTTAAATTTTCTGAAGAAAAACAAATTACACACACACACACAAATTGCCACCAAACGACCAGCAGCTCTCTGGGGCTGCTCAGAGGTCTGGTGTATTGAAAATATTCTCATTGGGTATGGATTAGTAGGCAAACAGCAGGGGAAAGAAGTCAAAGGTGCAAGATAAATTGGGTTTGTTACAGAAGCTGTAATTTATCATTGCAATATTGCTAACACAACTGTAGAGAATTATATATAAATTTAATAAAACAACTGCTATATTACATCTATTATCCTGGAGTCAGGTTTGGTTATCTTTTCCTCCTTGAGAAGAAGCTTTATCTGCAAATAATGCCACTGACTCTGGCCATTTATATTTTGGCCATTTATATTTTAAAAGACCACCTATACTACTTTACATGCAAATAATAGCATGAAAACCGGTGTATGTCAAAATATTGAGAACATAAAATTACACATTGAAGGCGAGAAGTGAAATGTTATGTAGTTCCCTAGAGGTGACAGTTCCCTCTGACGTTCAACAAAGAAATAAAGACAGCTGAAGCAGGGAGAGCTCTAGTTAAGCAAAATACATATAAACATGAGAGACATCTCTTCTGGAAAAATACACAATTAAAGTGCCATTGTCCCCTCTGTGCACCTGTCAAAACTGCTTGGGGGTTGTAGGAGTGAAGGAGAAGGGGGGCTGAGAAGAGAAAAGCAGCCACTGCAAATAAGCGGAGTATTTTATTAGAGAGTTACCTCTATTCTTGCAAGAATGAGTGCTCAAATGGATAATACCTTTCTGTGAAATCCAGGTTTCCAGCTTCATGTTAAGAAGAGGCTCTTACCTTATAGGATTATCCATTCTTGATACTGTGAGAAATGCTGCTAAGTTCGCTGTGTAGGAGGAGCACACGATAAGGGTGAAGAGCCACCAGCTTCCCATTACAATGCGCATAGCCACAGAATTGACAGTAGATTCGCCCCCTACAAATATACAGAAAAAATGAGGGTCTCTCAGCAGCTTCCATTTACGATCACCCTCAGTGTGCCCTGTTATGTTAAACTTTTTTGGAGCTACCCCTCTGCATTTCTGCTTCCCCTCCAGACTGCCCTTTCACTGTGAGAAAAGCAGGGCTTCCGCTAAGACTAATAATTTACATTTTCTCCAGTCAACCTCTTGCCCTGGATACTGTTCTAGAAAATCATCTTTCAAAATATTTCCCTTGGGAATTATTGAGGATCAAATCTACAGAACATGAAAAATATTCTAAATAAAGAAAGTTTAATGGTGAAGCACGACTAATATGCAGGAGTTAAACCATTAGTGTTCAGAATATAGTAATATTCTGTTTTCAATTTCATTTTAGATTTGGAAAAAACCCATAAAACTGTCCCATGGTTTGTGTGCTATCTGTGCTGTATTTAAATCTGCAAAGACTGAAGCATTAGTGTCATTACTTGTTAGTCTTTACAACATTTCAAACAAGATTTCAAGATTTCTTGATTTCTTTCTAGCAGGCTGCAAGCACAGTTATGTTTGAACATTGTTGGAGACCAAACCTTACCATACAGCTGGTGCTAGTCACTTCAGCGTATGTTTGTGCTGATTATATCTTACTGTACTTAAACCCATCAGGGATGCCACCTTAATGAGATGAGGGACCAAGTTTCATAGCGATAGTAAGGATTTTCCAGCTGAAGCTTTATAAGCTTGCAATCACAATGAAAAAAAAATGTAGAAAAAATTTAACACCATACCCATATGTTAACATTCAACAAAACCTGCCTTCCAAGAATAGTACTAACGTTATAGATAAGGGACAAAAACTGTGTGGGCAGATTTTGCAAACAATTATTTACAAAAATAATTTTGTTAATGGTAGCAATCCTACTGAATTCAGTAGGATTAGTCCTATGCCTAGGGATTCCTGAGTGTAAAGTTAGTTACATGACTACAAATCATTTTCCTATTCAATTCAAAAAACAAAAAGATAAACTGTCTCACATTAGGTCAAAAACATACACATTTCTAAAATTAAATTTAAACAATTAGAAAAGGTGCCAGTTTCAGAGTTGGAGAAGTGTTGTAATTCCACACCAAGCAGCTCTGTAGTTTATTTAACGGGATAATTTTCCCAAAGTGGAAAAGCCTGCATGGAGCATTTCTTCTGGACTCACTGAGAGACAGACAAGCAGAACATAACCTCCCAAACTTACCTACCTCTTCCCACTTTTCATCAGCTGGGCTAATAAAACGTATTACCTCCCGTATGAGCCTTCTCTTTCATCTTTAGACCGTTCTGGCCAAGACTAACGTGTCCTGAGCTGCTTTACCCAAGGTAGAACATTTCTGAACATCCGTCAGTGGTGTTTATAAGAGAGTGAGTACCTTGCTGAACAAAGGCGCCGTACACGACCCAGATGGCACTGTGGAGGGTGGAGGAGGCAGAAGGGCTCGGCTGGGAAGCGTTCTGCGCCCTGACTGCCTGGATGCGGTTCAAGACAAAGATCAAGACACCAACTATAGGGATGGCTGCAGCAATGCAAGCCCACACCGCAAAGTCGAAAGGAGCAAAGAGAGAGAAGATGTTGATTTTTTCTTCGGGCTTTTTGATTAAGATCCCCACGGAATAGTCCATGTACCGCTTGCTGAAGTCCACAACACTCTCTCGTTCTGGTGTTATAGTGATGGCTGAGATGGCTAGGTCTGCTCTCTGCGAGACAAACGCAACAGATCAGATCTCTTCCTTTCACCGTGAATTCTGCCAGTGTGAGCCTTAAGGAGAAGCTTTTTAAGAACCAAGTGACTCCATGCATTTCTTTCTATAATTTAACATGTTTAGACAAATTAAAATAAGTTGTCTAAAAATAAAACCAGAATCAGTTTCATCATTTGAACATTAATTAATTGCACTGGTCTAAAGCAAAATAGTGAAGCATAACCTGTCAAAGTATTCTAGAACAAAAAATGTCACCCTGACTCCTCTCTGGAATGAGTGCAATTTATTTAACCCTTAATCCCTCACTTGTTTTCCAAAGGATGCCTAAAACTCCAAACCATATTAACCTGGTGCACTGCAAGCAATAAGAAAGAAACACCATTTATTTAGCTTGTGTATTTGATAGCAAGGTGCGAAGAGCTAATATTTGTTTCCTCCCTGCAGAGTTGCCAACTGCCCATATTCATGAAGGGATTTCATGTGACAGCTGGGGGGAAGATTTTGTTTATTTTTTATAGTGAATAAAGCGATTGCAAAAACTAGTAACTGGAAGAATGCACCTAAGATGACTTAGCTCCTGAAACTGCTTTGACCTCCACATTTAAAGGAGTAGGTTTTGCATGCAGAGGGTCTTTAAAGAGTATGCAAACTCAATGAAAGATAAACCAGAAGTTAATAAATAAGATTCCCAAAGCTTTTAAAGAGCTGCAATTAGATTTTGCATATTTTTCCATCTTAATAAACCCAGTTCTCTTCAAAAAATAGAATGTACTTTTTGATTCCTATCTCTATATTTTGTTGGGAAAGTAAAGCAAATGTTAGGTGAGGGAGGTCTGCTTTGAAATCCTTTGGAGTCAGTGGAAAAGCTAGTAGCAGAAATACCATTAAAAAAATACCATAATTGATACTTTGTTGCTTCAAAGAAAGCAATTTCCAAAGAAATTTAACAGGATTTCTTACCACATTTTCAAGTCAATGAAATTCAAACAGCTTATGTCAATGCAAAATAAGTAAAAAATTCTTTATATTTCCTAGCACCAACCAAAAACATCCCATTATCATACACACATTTGCTATTGCTTTAATTGCTTCTATTTCTTCCTAAACATCTACTTACCAGATACTGAGCTGCCTACTTACTAGATAATGAGAAAGTTCGCTTTCAGTAATAACTCCACTGTGGAAGAGTAACCTTTTCTACAAAGGGCAGCAACATGGAATATTAATTCCTTTGATTCTCCTTCTTGATTAAAATTTGTCCCATGTCAGATAGCGAGAACATGAACAAAATACACTCTAATTTCATTCTCCAGGAGATTCTAAGCTACAGATTTTCCCCATTTAGTTCAATTACCTTACTCCTGATTTGCAAAACTGTAATTAAGAAAAGAAATTTGGTCCTCTCTGTTTTAAAATGAACAAATAATCTTGAGATCAGTTTAAATTCTGGTCCTTCAAAACACTTCTTTATGTTATATTACTAGGGACACTTTTCCTGTTTTGGAGTCAAACAGTCGGCCATTATCAAACACATTGCCACAAAGTGACCCAAATAAAGTCGTACCTACAAACAAGTAGCAGACATAATGACAAAATTTAAAACAATAGTAATTAATATTTTAAGAATACATTATTTTTCTCTACTTTCTATAGTCATTCATTCATACACACATACATGTCCTCTCTTCTTATTGTTACAACTATGTAAACACACAGATTTACACTGATACAATTTATGTTGAGAACAGCTGGGTGTAAACAGACCAACAGACTCTCTAGTTCCTATCCGTGTACAGGGTCTTAAATTGCGCAGTTTATACCACACTCAAACCACTCATAGCTCGGAAGTGTTCTGCACTGGTGCTTTCATCCTAATTCATTCTTGGTAATTTGGAATGGAGAAAGGGGAGAATTTAAACAACCCCCTTACAAAGCTTTGACACCCTACTCCAAAGGGTTTTTTTTTCTTTTTTTTTTTTTTTTTTTAAAGCAGCTTCTTCTCTGTGTACCTTGTTAATGAGTTCTCCAATCATGCCATTCCAGGAGCTGTTTTGAAGCTGCTGTCCATATTTGCCATCAGGAGCTTGATATATCTCATACTTGAAGCCCAGATTCTTGGCAAGAGCATCCAGGACATCAATGGAAAATCCTTTATATCGTTTTGGTTGCCCGAGTATGTTCTCCGCCACCATCACAAAAGGTTCTTCCTGAGAACAAAACAATATCTTAACTGATACTTGAAACAAGTTTTTTAGTTTGCTTCTCTTGGCAAAAGGGCGTTTCCTGACTTAATTCTGGACAACTTGGCACAGATTTTGGGACACTCATAACCTTCTGAGGCAAAAAACTGTAGTCCAAGGGGGATATTATGAGGCATCCCAACCAGACACCAGTGCTTCAGCACCTTAGTCCTGTCCGTGGCCTTGGGTTTTCCACAGTTCATGAGAAGAGGCAGAGACTCCAGAGGACAATTCAGTCCCCTCTAGCAGCTTCCTGGTGTCTGCAGGATGAATTGCTCTCTGAAGTCTCTGCCTCTTCTCACTGACTATAAAGAGGGCACAGATACCTACCTTAGATGTTAAGTTAAGCACGTGAGTCCTAGATAGGAACATTAATACTGTCCATCTATCTCAGAACATATCAGATTTAGAAAGCCCTCTTTTACAGAGAATAATTAATCTTTTGTCCAGGAGATGTACTGAAACAAGAGCTAAAAATGCTGCATTTTGTGAATATTTAAAATTTTGAAAATTCAAAGAAGAACCTTCATGGTTACTGGTTCCTGGAGTATTTTATATTAAAGTATGTTTCGGGACCAAGGAAATGCAGCATTTTCTGGTGTGTTTTCTGTCAGGCATGGGGTCTCCTGTGGGGGAACATCAGGCCTGCCAGCAGCACAGCCATCACAGTTGGCCGCCTTTGCAACCTGGTACTGACATTCTTGTGGAAGGGATCTGCTCACCTCCCACATAAGCTTGCATGTCACCAGGCAGAGGAAAGAAAATGGGGCTGGGGGTAGTGCCTTAATGATCTTACGCGGTGCTTCCTATTTGTACCATGATTCAGAAAAAAAGAAATAAAAATCACAAAAAGACACCACATTCTGCAAGCTGC